TTATATTAATCTAAATATTCGCTAATGAAAAGAAAAGTGTTTTCAGTCTAACTGATAGCACTCCTAGCAAAATAATGACAACAATTAAGAGGCTGAATGATAAGTCAATGTGATGCTTATGCGAACTTAATATATTGTGTAAGAAATAGTGAAAAACATCAGCATTTATTTATTTATTTATTTGATACATATAGTTGATTTGACGATGATACTCGAATGAATGCCTTTCATACATTACTTTGACATATTTAGAAGCTTAAACTTAAACTTCCAGTCACTTGTTAAATCAACGCATTGTTTATTCGAATCCCTATGCTAATTATTTCAGCTATTCGTTTTGTACAGAGAAAAAGTTACTTGCTTATTATCTTTGCACTGAAAACCTCTGGTCAATGTGAATTGTAGATTTCTGGTATTCGCTAAAGCTGTAAACCAGGGGGAAAAACCGTTACTTCAGGAAGATTGCTTTTATACACTTTCTTGAGAACTGTAGGGATTTCATTGATTTAGTTATAGATTTTTCCCATGAAGTGACTTCAGTTAGAGAAACACTGGAAAGCACAAAATACTTAACAGCTGTTTCGTCCTAGTTTTGAACTTCTCAGTTGTATACACCAAAGCGTCACCAGGAATCAAAATTAGGACCTTTAGGTTACAAGACGAGTCCGTTAACCATTCAGTCACTGGGCTGGAATCCAATGCCCAGTGAATTCTCACTTCTACCAGTTCCCTATACAGTGACACCTTCAACCACTCCCGTCAATAAGCATCCACTTTACACCAAAGTTGTTGGGTCTAACCATATACAGCCGTCCGTTTAGAAGTGGAAAATACCAGAGTAGTGGTGTTGAAACAACTGTTGTGACATTAATCATGCAGAGAAATTCACTGTGTGCATGTCTGTGATTTTTGAAGCTTAATTTCTGCAAAACTGTGCCTATTAGATGGTTGGAGGCAATTGGCAAGAAGCCCAGTCTGACGTAGGTTTCGCGCTAGTTGGCACTCATCAGCAAGGCGTATCTGCAACCTTGAAGGAACTCATTTCCCTTCTGAGATTCGAACCCGCATCACCCAGTGAGTACTGCAGTCAGAGACGTTACCACTTAGCTATTTTGGCTAGCGATTGACCTCCGGTAGGTCTGTATTGGATATTTTCTGATTGGACACCAGTCAGTAACTAGTGTAATATGTCTAGTCCTTTCTTTGGTGCAGTCTGAATGGTGGTCACATTGCAAACCTTACTGATATAATTCAGTATGTACCAAAGAAAGGACTAGACACATCACACTAGTTACTAGTGTCCAATCAAAATTGTGTCTAGTTTTAGAAATACAAAAAGTGCCAGTAAGTATTTATCACCCCAAAGGTCATAGATTAGATGAAAGCCCTTGTTAATGAAAGTATAGTTAGTTTGTAAGAAGTGGTCGTAGAAAATGTCCGTTGACTATTATTGCCTTGTTATGCATTAATCAACCAGACATGTATTGTATTCTTTATCCATAATAAGAAGGATGAAACTTGGAAATGAAAAGCTTTAGCTAACAGACACTGTCATACTGTAGAGCTGACGGTTGGTATAAAGTGATGGCACAGTCCCATTTGTCCATAAATATAGAAAGTGTAAAATACATTATTATTATAATAAGGAAAGGACAGATATTCTAAATATATCTGGAACAATCTTCTGTATGCAAAACCTAATTGTCACTCTTGTAGGCTTTCAATTTTTGTCTTTATTTTACTTTCAGATTTCAGTATTTCCTTGATGTTTCACTCTCTACTAAAAGCTGTCAGAAGTAACACACTTATAATTTAAGAATGGCTTTTCATGAGGCCATCGGCAAGTAAAATACTGCATCTCATAGGAAGATCTTTATATATTCTATATATTCGAAGTATGGCTCTCTGGTGCAAAACACAATGTATTTTACATTCACTGGTCACTAATGTGTAGACGACATCTTGCATCTTGTCTTTGGTGTTGGTACACAGTAAGTTCTATCAGTCAATGTGATCACCAAGCTAGGTGGCTCACCATCGTGGTGCACTTTGAACTGCTGCTAGATGTTTGGCAGCAATCGGCAGGAAGCCCTGGGTGTAGCTAGGTTTCGTGCTTGTTAGCACTCATCAGTAAGGCGTATTTGCAACCTTGGAGGAACTCCTGCACTGTGATAGCAAGTCACCTAGCTTGGTAACTACATTGTAAACTTGAGTGACAGAATTCAATCAGCACCAATACCAAGGAGTGAGCATACGACACCGGCTACTCCCTATTGACTAATCAGTGTGTTAATTACAGTCCTACCGGAGATAAATCGTGGTATTGTCTCTGACTTCAGTACTGAGTGACATGGATTTGAATCTCAGGGCGGACGGCAGCTCCTTGAAGGTTGCAAATACATCTTGATGGCGAGTGCCACCAGTCACCTAACACAATACACTTTATTGTGTAAAGGTAAACTGAGTCAATATAGTAAATCCTTTTTGTATGGATACATACAGCTGGTGAAGAAAATCCCATGGGCTATTAGGGAGATTACAATGACAAGTTATTTACCTCTCAGACCTAAATAAAACAATAGTCCATATGTTTGGGGATCACCACCTATAGTCCATCTGTCGAAATGATATCTGATAGAGTAATGAGTAATCAGCTTAGTCATTCCTTACTTTCCTTCACCACTTAAATGACTGTTTAGTTTTGACCTAGACAGTTTCACCTATGTTTCATCTGATTCAGACAACACAGCACTTAAAGATAAGAGGAAATTCAGCATTTGCTATATATGGTCGAAAAAAGACAAAACCAACTTCATATATAAAAAAGATGGCATGAACCATGAAATATATAATGTTGGCTAAAAGGGACTATTTCTTCATCTTCGTATCCACGGTCATAAGGTATCAATTAAAGGACATAGCATGCACTATTTCTTATCGATTCACACGAACAACTACTCACACATTCTTTTAGCTGGGATAATGTAAAATTCTTAGACAAAGTAAACACAAAGAAAGCCAGAGAATTCCTGCAGTCATGAATGGTACTCAAGTCAATTCGCAGTTAATAGACATGTTTCCATAGATCAAATTTATCAGTTAATATAAAGTACGTTGCAAGTCTAAAAAGTCAAATGGCAAATCAGAGTGAGGATTAATACAAAGAAACCTGGATATATTCATAGGAAAATCTGCGGGAACAAGCAGTTTCAGTGAAGGTTACCAGAAGAGGTAAATACCTCATTTATGGAGAATTTATAGATGACGAAAGATATTGTCCAGGAGGACAACCTAAGCCTCACAGTTAAACCAACCGGCTCAGTGAACCCAATAACATCAAAAGCTTATCCACTACTCAAAACTGTTTGAGTGGTTTTTGCACGTTTTATAACCGCCTTATTTCATCCTCTGCAACTACAAACAGCACATATGAGAACCTCCAAGCTAGAATCGGAAAAGCAAGATAAGCCTTCATTATTCTGAAATCAGTGTGGAGGTTTACAACACTCAGTTAGATCAAAATTTTCAACATCATATCAAATCACTGCTTCTATATTGATTCAGACAATTAGTGTGTACATCAGCCAAAGCATTTCTAACAGACTGCTGAAGACTTTTATCAGTAACTGCCTTCTCTGGCTCGATAGTAAAGATCAGATGGCCAGCTAGAAAGGATACCCAACAGACCAGTCAATAAGCTATTCCCGAATAAATATACAGAAAGACATCGAGATGGATTTGACATCCGTTTAAGAAATCTTTGAGTAACATCACATATACAGTTAAGTGTCCGAGGGTGACATGGAGAAAATCATGTGGGGAGGGAGCAAAATGAAACCTTACGATCAATCATGAAACCAATTAAAGAGAGCTGCAGAGAATTGAATGAAATGAAGGTGTACTGGTGTAACCCTGTGTTGCATTTAGAACCCAAGGGAATGATGACAGTATAATAATATTATAACAATAATAAATCCTCTGCAAGTGTCAGAAAACAGTTACTGACATCAAATTATCCTCAGACGTCCAATTTTCAAAATCTATACACAACAAACCGCACGATACTGCATAGTTATTTAACTGGGGAAGGGGGTGAGTGGGGGTGGAAGTACTCTAGACCATTAGCACACACATTACTGCTTGATCAGCTTAACTTACTCATATCATAAACCTACATAACTTCGCAATAGTATTTTTTTAATTCCTTCACGTTCCCAGTGGAGCATAGGGCTTCAAGCTAGAGGCTTGAACTTTCTGTAGCAGTGGTGTTCATTTTTACGGGATGGGGTTGCTAGCCTCACGCCTAACCTTCCCTCTTTACCAGCCCTACTGTTGGCCTAGCGAGGTAAAGGAGTGCGTCGGTGGCCGGGGATCGAACCCCGAACCACCTTGGTGGTTGGCGAGCATTCTACCGCTGTGACACCGATGCTTATCGTATTCGTTAACTTTGAGTTATTCTGTTTCCAAACCAATTCAATGTGTTGAAGTAGAACCATGAAGTCTTATCATTATCAAACTCATTTTATAAGGAGAAAAGAAGAAAAAGGAGGAGAGAAGTAACAACAATGAAAGATGTGAAAATTGTGAGTTTGGAAAAAAAAGAAAAGAGGAAAAGCACAAGCACTGAAATGAAATCCCATGAATGAAAATATGCAAACAAATTTTTTTAAGAAGTAAAAGAAAAATTAATGAAATAACTACAAATTGTATAATACATTCACACACACTCTCTCTCTCTTTGGTCGTAGTGTTCTGTTATTATAATGACAGTAATCTTGAGATCTGTTAAAAAGACATCAAAACGATAGGGAAAAGAGAAACCAAACAGTCAACCGTTTCATTAATATTCAGGCACTCCTGAAGAATCTTATATCTCCCATTTCATCAAGAGGAAAGGTGAACTTCTAATCTTGTCAATAATTTAGGATTATTTCCCTCTCATGAAATTTTATCCATTTATGTGAACTCTAATCTACTTACTATTAAATATATGCCTGTAATTATATCCTTTTGCAAGCTTTAATATGAAGTTTAGAGGATGAAATAGATGCTGTAGGAGAAGAAAAAGAAACAACTCTAACTAAGATACCAGGTGAAGTTAATCGATAATCAGATTTACTTATTCCCAAAGGTAGATTGTAACATTGGTTTTCTAATAATGAAGCCAGTGAAGTTGAATTTGATGCATTATCACGATTTTTTAACTTTCTAATTGCAGTTGTAGGAGAATGTTTATACTTTAACTGTTTTTCACTTATAGATTCTGATAAAGAAGAAGTGTTACTTCTAGTACTTTGGTGCATATTTGTCTTACGAAAGTGGAAATGCTTTGAGTTTAACTCATTGAATTTCATTTTCGAGGATTTTATTCTAGTCTTCATTTCTGTTGACTTAGATCTAAGTCTTCTAAGAGTTGGTGACATTGTAGTCTGGTGTTTATACTGTGCTTGTTGGTGTAGACTTTTACATCGCTTATACTTTTTCAATCTTTTATTTATCCTTTCAAACAAATGAACAGAAGCTTCATAAATATCTTGTTTATCATCTGTTCGTATTAATTTCCCGATAGAAGCAGGAGGATGGTGTGATGATAAAGACCTATTTGGTGCTGATTTTGTACGTTTTCTTTCGCAGTTTATCATCTTAACAGAATTCACTGACTTCAAAGGTGTATTACGCAGTGTTGGTGATATTGTTTGACTGCGTACTGATTTATCACTTGGTTGTTGTCTGACTGTCTTATTAGACAGCCTAGTCAAAGGTTGATAATTATCCTTCGGCGAATTATTAATTCTTCTTTTATGCGGTGATTTTGTTGGTGAGTAGTTAGTCATTATTTTTCTACTACTTGGAGATTTTGTTCGACTGCCTATTGGCGTAGTCTTCAGGGGAGCATGATTTACACCCTTATTCGCATGTTTTTTCAGTGTTCTAGGTTTTTTACCAAGATTCAAATACAGCCTCTTATTTCGATTTTCACTACTTTTCTGGGATGTATCTTGTAAAGCTTTTTCAATAGAATTAGTTCTATGCGGTAACTCATCACCCTCTGAAGTGGTCACTGCACTAGCAGAAATATATGCTGGAGTTAGATTGGGAGGGAAGGTAGTTGTCTTTTCTTTATGTTGAGGTGAATAGATTTTTATTTGTATTTCAGTAGGCTGGAATACAGGTACTATGGGTTCAGTGATTATTTCTATTGTCGGTCCAGTCGTTTCAGATTCTTTCAATCTGTCATTTTCGAGTTTCTCATTCTTTGCTGCCACGACTACTGCTGCAACTTGATTATTCTCCATCAATGAATCCCCTAGGGGATATAGAATAGTCTGTTGATCAACACAGCTAAGGAATACTGGTTTCATATTTGACCATTTGCTATCATTTATCAGTGTAAAAGTCGGTTTTATGGAATAAGTGATAGGGATTGTCTTGAAGCTGGAGAGTGTTTCATCATTTCTAGTTAACTCGATTACATCATAACTTAATGGACCATTATATTTAGTCGAATGACTTTTAACCTTTTTGTCAACTTTTTGACTTCCAGCCATTGATTTCACCTGACTTTTTTTATTACGTTCACCTAAGGGATTAACTCTCCAGTCTTTTGTTGAATTATTATAATCAATTTCTGGTAGACTTGAATTCAATGATGAGACAACATCATTGATACTTTCTGTTCGAAAAATAACAACAGAATAGGTCTGTTTATAAAATTCTACCGGATTTATATCATCTTTAGAATAATGCTGATTAGTACTCAGATTTTCTGGCATTGATAAACCTGTAGTATTTGCGGTAGTGATAGCAGTGGGTGAAACATTCACTTGCCGATTCAAATTATTCTGTGGCATTACTTCATGTTCCAATTTACCATCTTGAATGCTTTCATCATCATCAGGATGTGTTGCTTTACAGATTATTTTGTCAGTTTTCTTTCCTTTTCGCTGTAAACTTAAGGGAATACCGATTTCAGAGTTATGCTGATTATATTCATATAAAGGGGCATCTTCATAGAATTGATTATCTTGTGTAATAGGTGCTGTAGTGGTACTAGTAGTTACAACGCTATCAACATTGTATGGCATTATGTAATTCATTATAACGACAAAATACCAATTTATTATTTGCATTATTAATTCCTTTTCTAATCTTCTTTTATATAATTTTATTCAAAGAATCCCCTCAATATTCTCCAAAAAACATCTTGTCATCTTGGGGCATTCATGCATATTTCTGATTTACCGCCAACTGGAAATGCTCATATGATTATTAAATAGGTATGAAATAGACTTCTGTTTATCTATAATGAATATTTTCACAACTTTTGTTAAAAATGTCATTATTTTGTAGTAATATTTTCATTATAAGCGTGTTATTCTTTTCAGATTACAGATTATATCCTTCATTTGTGATTTCTTGTGAAGCGGATCCTCTCTAAACAATAAATATTGAATCATTGAACACTTTGTTTAAATGAATTGAAATATTCAGTTGGCTACCTTTTCAAGTTTTATCGTCATTCATTCATTCATTTAAAATACGAAATATTATTATATACATTACTTTATTTTTTTAATTATTCCTTATGAATTTTAACATGAAATCCATGATAAGACGTTGTATGTTGCTGTTATCCTAACTGGGAATAAATATATTCGTTCTTTCAACAATGAATGTTAGTTTGGTTGATTTCAACATATCAGTCTGTTTTTAATGATTTGTATGCATACATTTATTGATTATATTTAGATAGATAAGAAAGAGTAGAATTAATCACATGATTTTACTTAGATAAATCAGACTCATTATAACGTCCTACAAAGAAATAAGTATTCAGTTCAACTTGTCCATATTGTATGTATCAAATGTATTTTTAATAAGTCTGCTATATTATGTTTTACACATAAATAAATACCTTTACACGTATTCTGTTGTAATGAATATAAAGTCTTAAAGAGAAAGAGAGAAAGAACTATTCAGAATTGCTAAATCTTGCTGAATCTTTAGGGCAGCATTTACTTTGAATGCAGTAATTTTTGATTAACGAGAAAACTACTAAATGATGTCCTGTTGGTGACCTGCAAATTTTCAAAACAAAATACCAAGCATACTAATAGTTTTTGATTTAAATTGATTTGTCACGAGAGAGTCTATTAGTCAATGGTCCTGATTAATCTCTATGATGCAAGTTTTCAATGAGATCATCAAGATAGAAGACTTACCATCACGATTCACTTTGAATTATTAGCCGAAGAGATTGACTAGGGGTCGCGATATGTCGTGAATTGGCAGAAGTTAGAATTCATGAGCCATTGGATTGGGTCCCAGTGGCTTAATGGTATACGAGCTAGCCTTGTAACCAGAAGGTCCCGGGTTCGAACCCTGGCGGTGGGTGCGTACTGATGAAGAGTCCCAAACAAGGACGAAACAGCTGTCCAGTACTCCCTGCAGGTTTTCCAATGGTTCTGTAACTAATGTCAGCTAATGATGAATTCCTGTAACCAATCCAAACCCTTACAAACCAACACTTGAATATTATTTGATTATCGGAGTAGTGGGTACATCATCATTCCTTAGAAGTTGCGTATGCACCTTTCTGACAAGTGCCAGTAAGCACAAATTGTAAGTTCAAACCATTCTGGAGATTGCCTCCAACCCCCCACCAAATATCAATTTGAAGTCAGCTGTAATAGTCACTTGTTCAGCTTGACCATCACACACATGATACCGCTACTTTTCAGTGACCAAACGATGTGAAATTTACGTTCATATAGGAGATAATCTGCGGTCTCAGAAAGCTGAGTGGTGGTAACGGCTTAAGCACCGGCTTATGTGTGCCCAAATCTCCAAGGTGACATTGGTTTGCAGATAATCCTTATTGTGGAGAGCTAATAAGCACGAAACTTGGATAAAAGTCTGTGTGCCAATTTTCAAGTGTTTTGCAGGGATTAGATTGAATTCAAGCTTGATAATGAATTGAAATCACTTAGAGAATCACTGGAAATCAGTAAGTCCCTAACTGGGACTCTTTAGCAGTACGCCTCCATGACCCCACCGGGGATTGAATTCAGGACTTGCACGTCACAAGACCAATCCGTCGACCATTTAGCCACTGGAACGGAATTCAATGTCCCATGAATTCTATGTTCCAGTGATTCGCGATTTATGGTGCCACCTCAAGCCAGTGTCTCTGGCGAGTATTTGTCCCCACGCCTAACTCGATGTACGCCACTGATCACGACTTGTCACACGAACTCCATGCAACTTCTTATTGGAGTCGGCTTCTAGTGGGGACAGTTGTTTCGTACTATAAGGGGACTCTTCAGAAGTGAGCACACACGACTCTACAGTTTTCTTTCAACCATTTAATAATAATTTGAAGGCCTCATATGTATATATACATAGCATCTTATTAAATGCGATCCAGGCAATTGAGTATTTTAGATTTACATTGTAAATACGATCTTCAGTTTCATACTAAATATAGGTGTTAAAGTGACCTTAATTTGAACTTTAATATTCATTATACATAAAGTGAATAGATACTTATAAATACAGTTGCAAATGACATCAATAGGGTTTGGTTTGGATTGGACTAGTGTTCTTGTAGTGTTGCAGAGAAACATCTTTTTATTGCTCATTTTCTTAGACCTTTGGGATACTGCTTCTTCTTTGAACAGAAGATGAAGAAAGACTTTTTTCTTTCTAATAGTTGGGTGAATCTTTTTCTCATCTTCCTCTTTACCATACGCCAGAATGATTCTCTTAGTATATCCATTTTCTCTGAAGCATTTCTCAGCGAAGCGCGATTCTTCTTCCATTCTGTTGGTTAAACTTGGCCTCTTGGCTCTGTCATAGACTGTACTAATAATCCGGTCTTATAGCTTACAGAATAGAAGTTGTTGCAGTAAAGATACTATACAGTGGATGGAACTTTCGATCGTAGTATCATTTCTTGTCATATTAAGATTCAAGAAACGAGGCTCGTTGTCACGCTCATAGTCTACAGTGAATTTAATGTTAGGATGGTTCTCGTTGCGTCGAAAAGCACTGGAACAACTTGAAGACAGTGTGGAGTCAAACCTGCATGGAATTTCCAGGCAGAAAGAAGAGACAAGACAAACAGTGGCTCACTACGGACACTTGGAAACTAATAGATGAGAGAGGGATGGTGAAACGAAAGATTATCCAGTGCACCGATGAGCAACAAAAACAGGATTTGAATGCAAACTACAAGACACTGAACAAAAGAGTAAAGAAGAGTGCCAGAGAAGACAAAAGAAAGTACTATGAAACCATGGCAAGTGAGGCAGAACAAGCTGCAGGCAAAGGAGACCTCGCAACACTCTACCAAACTACTAGGTACCTATCGGGCAAACGTTTGACACAAATCAAGCCGGTGAAAGATGACAACGGAAAGTCACTCACCAAAGAAGTGCAGCAAAGGAAACACTGGGCTGAACACTTCAAAAGACTCCTAAGTCGACCACCACCTACAACGCGCCCAACAATACCAACAACGGAGACAGAGCTACTAGTGAACACCAACCCCCCGACGAAATCAGAAGTCCTGAAGGCAATCAAGATGCTAAAAGCTGGAAAAGCAGCAGGACCAGATGGAATCCCAGCAGAAGCATTGAAAATGGACCCAGAGACAACAGCGGACTTGATGACTTGATGTGAAGAGGAGATGAAAACGTGCGGGCAGACATGGAGCCAGGTGAAGACTCTAGCAGAAAACCGAACTCAATGGAGACGCACGGCTTAAGCCCTATGTTCCTCTAGGAATTAAAGGATACAATAATAAATAATAATAATGGTTCTCGTTGAGACGGTTATACAATTTAGATGACTGATTCATGGTATTACAAACAACAAACATATTATCAACGTATCTGTGACATTAGGTTGTTTCACGAATAGCAGAAATCGAATGTTATCTCTGTTTCAGATGACTGATGAAGTACCAGAGTAATGATCAAGGTTGATTTTAATTGATTCTAAATCAACCAAAAGTATACTTCTGTCAATGGTATTTCATTTTTGTAACTACATGTACGACATACTAAGTTGTTCTGTGTGTCGGTGGCACAGCGGTAGAATGCTCGCCTACTATCCATGTGGTCTGGGGTTCGACACAACGGCCACCAACTCACTCCTTCACCTCGCTAAGCCAGTAATAAGACTGGTAAAGAGGGAAGGCTAGGCATGATGTCAGCAATCTTATCCCGTAAAAATGAACACCAACGCTACCGAAACCTGAAAGCTCTATCTTGAAACCCTATGTTCCACTGGGAACGTAAAGGAATAAAATTTTAAAAAAGAAAAGTTCAATTAAAGTATAATTATATTTTAATAGTTTACACACAATGATAAGTTTTGTTATTGGTAATATTTCGAGCAAAATTACTGCCCGTGTTCATGAATGAGCAAAAGTAATGAACTATATATATGAGTACAAATCATAAATGTGTGAATCAAACAATTCCAACAGTGGTGTGAACACGGGCAGTAATTTCGCTCGAAATATTACCAATAACAAAACTTATCATTGTGTGTAAACTATTGAAATATAATTATACTTTAATTGATCTAATCCACAATGCTCAAACTTTTTACTGATATAAAAGAAAAGTTGTTTGAACCTGGAGCGGGGTGTACAAGAAAGTAATGATGGCTCACATGACGTTTGCAAATGAATGTAAACATTTCACTCTGATTTATTTCTGTACACAGATGAGAAACAGGAATTCATATCACTTCTTAAAATCAATAAATATGCAAATTATCAGGATAACTTGTGATTTACAAAAGTACAAAATAATCTCCTATCTAAAATCAATTACTACTTGTATTATATAAGACGGTAATGCTTACCTATTCTACAGATACAGAAATGAAATTCTTATTCTGACATGTGTACTCTTGTTTCTAATCAAAAGTCATAGTTACTTATTCATGTCTGTGTGATTTTCCACTGATATATATTTGCACCGAATTGATGAGCTTTATTCTGGTATATGAACTGCTTCAGCAGATGCCCTGATATTACTAGGATTGATAACTTGAATTTGCCTATTTTGTTGTGGCTAGCAGCAGAATCCATGATGCGGATTTTCACCAATTTTAGATTCGTCATCTGAATGCACCTGCACTGAAATGTGGTTAACTAATCTCCTTCAGACATATCAGCGGGGAAATCACAAGCATGAATCAATAATTTTGAGTCAGACGTGTTACACAAGAGGTGGCCGTCGTGACCTCCTGGCTTAGTGGATAACTCTTTGTCGCTGGGACAGACGATTGCTGGGTTCGAGTCTCAGTGGGAAGTAGATGACTTCAGCTGATAAGTCCCAAATACGACGAAACGCCCATCGCAGATTCCATTTTTAGCCACCAACACACAAATAATTACAAAGAAATTACACTGGACTGCATTGAACCACTCAGTGCATTTTCCACACCAAAATAATAATACTGTGACTACCTGTTACACGTTGTCGCCTGTTTTGACTTAGGAAGATTCGCCATTTATCCTTATTTGATAACCACCTTGTCTCCGATAACCTTTTCACGCTTCTCCTACGTTCTTCATTACTCAAACAGTATCAGATCAATAGATTGGGTACACATTAGTTAAGATTCTGCTGGATTATGTGCATTAAAAACTATAGGAATACTGAAACCATCCACACTTTTAACCAGCCCTAGTTATTTCAAGCCCTGTATGTACTCACTGAGGATTCTCATCCATTCATTGTATTAAACTGCAAGTTTATTTAGTTTTAAATAATTACACAGGCTCTTGTTATAGTTATTTCATCATTTAGAGACTAACGATGATCAACAGTATCTATCAACGGTTGAATTCCCATAGGGAATATAATCACTGCCTCAAATCTATTGTTAAGATTGCTTTGACAGCCCAAAAACCTTTTGAAGTGCTCTTGGTTAGTGATATTTTTATCTGGTAAATATTTTATATTTAAATTATCGAAATCACATATCTTTTGTAATACAAATGACAACATATCAGTTGCAGAAAAAGAATCATAATATATGTTTGTACTGATAAAAAGTTGTTCTGTATTCTGAAATCAATTCACTGGAAGATTATACAATTAAATACAGTTTTTCTTTGAGTAATGATCACTCAGCCGTACTATCAACTAATGCGAACGACAGGTCTACTAGTATTACTCCAGTTCTGTCTTTATTCGATCGGTTACAGGATTTCATCATGAGGTGACATTAGTTAGAGAACCATTGGAAAACCTGCAGGGAGTACTGGACAGCTGTTTTGTCAGCCTAGTTTGGGGCTCTTCAACAGTACGCACCCATCATAGGGTGGTTCGAACCCAGGACTTTCTGGTTACAAGGCGAGCTCGTATACCATTAAGCCACTGAGACCTGATCCAATGGCCCATGAATTCTAACTTCTGCCAGTTCACGACATAGCGCGACCCCTAGCCAATGTCTTTGGCGAGTATTTGTCCTCACACCCGACCTGCTGCACCCTACTGGTCACGAATTCTCACTAGAACCCCAGGTAACTACCTACCTGAATAGGGCAAGTCGCTAGTGAGCATCTCATTGAAATTCAAGTGTTGGTTTGTAGGGATTTGATTGGTTACAGGATTTCATCATGAGGTGACATTAGTTAGAGAACCATTGGAAAACCTGCGAGTACTGGATCGATCGATTAATTAATCCGATATACCACACTAATAATAATACAATAATAATAATAATAATAGAGAATCACATTTAATCGGATACAGCAGGAAATTTACACATCCCTCTATCATTTGGTATCTTTAGATATACCAAATCTTCCTCATTAGTTTGAAAAAGTGTGGAAGCACGGTGATATGCTTAGAGAAACCGAACGATAATGATGATGATGATGATGATGATGATGATGATGATGATGATGATGATGATGATGATGATGATGATGATGATGATGATGATGATGATGATGATGATGATGATGATGATGATGATGATGATGATGATGATGATGATGATGATGATGATGATGATGATGATGATGATGATGATGATGATGATGATGATGATGATGATGATGATGATGATGATGATGATGATGATGATGATGATGATGATGATGATGATGATGATGATGATGATGATGATGATGATGATGATGATGATGATGATGATGATGATGATGATGATGATGATGATGATGATGATGATGATGATGATGATGATGATGATGATGATGATGATGATAGCCAACCAGCCAACAACAACAGTAACATCAACAACCAGCACCAATCACCACCAACGAGAGAGACTGAACAGAGTTTAGTTACTCCCTTCTCTTATCTAAGAAGCATCATTTCAGCTACTGGCGGAATGGAAGAAGATGTCAAAGTCACGCCTTCATCAACCTAAAAACAGTTTAGAAATCTTCTGCAATTAGTCAGTGTGAAGAACAAAATTCGGATTTTCAACACTAATATCAAATCGATCGATGCTTCTATACGGGTCAGAAACTTGGAGTGCGTGTCGCGAAAAGGATTTCCAACAGGCGACAGCTGCCCGCTTCACTGGCTACATACTGAAGATCAAATAGGCAGTCGGTCAGGAAGAATTAGCAACAAGTAACTCTGGGTGCGAACAAAGCAAACAAGAGACGATCGCGCAACAAATATGTAGGAGAAAATGAAGATGGATCGGGTACACGTTGAGGAGGCCGTCGAATGTATCGCGCTCAATGCAGGCCATTGCTCTAGTGGAACCCAAATAGGAAGCGACGAGTTGGTTGACAGTGGTATAGTGACATGGAGGAGATCATTTGATGAGGAGGAGGAGGTAAGAGATTATCAGCAATCGTTTGGCTAGCCAGATGAAGAGGACAGCAGAAAATAAAAGAAATTGAAGATGTGTTGTTGAAGCCTTATGTTCCACTTGGAACCCAAGGGAATAATAATAATATCAAAGAATGAAAAGGACATACTTCAATTTTGGAATGATAGTAGAGCAAATGTTATAAATTAAGGCAACTAAAATGTAAACACCATAGCTTTTAATTTAATCCACTATCAGTTGATATGCAATTCAAAGTAGAAAACAACTCGATTTTCTGAATATACTCCAAGAAATTTACTTCTGAGGGGAAGCAGATATACACAAAGTGCAGTCACCACACACCTCGAGAATACGGGGTGTTTATAAACTTTCATACGCTTGAGGCAGCACGTACATCGAAAGAGCAGATGATATGGTCTCTGTCCTGTCTCCTGAAGATATTCCAAAACAGCTAAGCCTGAAGAAAAGTAAATATTCGCAAAGCTCAATCACTAGAAATTTTGTAGGGCATTTCATCGAGATATCTGAATTCTTAATATTATTAAATATGCAAATAACACCAAATTTACTACGATTTACTGAAGCGATTACAATCAAATATTTCAATCAAACTTAAGCATACAAAAAAGGAGTTTAATCAATCTCTCACTTCCTTGATAACTGTATCTTGTTTTTGACTACACTGATTGCATGATCATGCACATTAGTGACTTCAGCCCACTCAGCTCATTTTAGTCTTTTGAATTATAGTTTTGTTTAATTGTCATGTAACCTTATTATCTAACACTGTCTGATGTTTTCTCTCTTCTCCTTCTCAACATTTTCTATTTTGAAATGGAAATAAAAAAGGATGGTGACTCGAACAAAAATTGGGATGTTGACGCCTTGAATGTCTTAATTTATGACATTTACTCTGCAGTCACGCCAACATTGAAGTATGTTATTTTCATTCTTTCACAGTTATTGTAACTTTACGTAATCTGCAACTGATCACGAGGAACCTGTCGAAGAAAATGACGTCATATTCTACTGTAAATCTGGTCTTCCTTGCTTTATCGAGAAGTATACCTATTCACGCAGTCAATTCACAGAATTATTAAGTACCAAGCTTATTAGGAAACAATCTTGGCATACACAAATTATTGAGTTGATAAGTTCTCACAGACACAAGTATTGACTCAGGTTCAGGACGAATGCCTACTCCACAGCCTGCATAAAAACGCGTTGACTAAGAATATAGCTTTTTATCCTCCATAACATTTTTCTCAGAAGAAATCTGATGTTATTCTAGACGTTGTCTTTAGAACTTTTTCGAAGAGAAATAACCTCAGGATTTGTTTACTAGTATTAATGAAAATTTCCACCTGGATTGGACAGGATATAAACATCTCATTAATCTCTTTATTTTAGACGATTCTACTGTCGTAATTCTGCCTGTTCAGTTGATTCTTTTCATTGCCACTAAAAAGCTTCTGTTCACTGAGGATTAATTGAAAAGTTATAAAATCACAGGAATGAATTTATACAAAGATATCAAGAAGGTTATCTATAGTGTTAAATTGCAATCCGCCTTTTCTACAGATGATGATAATAATGGCATGAAGGATAAGTAGTTGCTTATAGACACATCTATATTTTGAGGTAGTAAAAGAATTCACTTAGAAGTGGTCTGTGTTTAACCTGGACTCCATGTTTTTTGTCACTCGCCAACTCAGTAAAAGGCGCGGACTTTATGATTAAGTTGGTTGAACTACAAGCAAGACTGAAATATGTATAAAGACCCTTCGCAGCACCGTAACAAACATGTATATTGTGACTAGTGAATTCCTTTACTGTCGAGGGATTCAGCTTAGTGTCATGCCAGTTTAGTCAGCGCAGAGAAAGGCATATGAAACCCAATTTTTCTAGACAAACTACTGAATTCTCTCGATTAGCTGTACGTTTATTTTTATATACTTGATCAGTACTACTTAGTAGCATACTATCCAATGATAGACTTAATCGTTTCTCACAGAATAGCTTAACTTCTGTTCTATCTTCAAACAAATAATGATAGATATAAGTATAAAACTTGGGCACTGTGGTAGAGTATAACTCCATTATGGATAAGATTTTATTTTGATAAATCACACAGTTTTGTAAAGTAATATTAACTGATGACGTTTCGAGCACAATTTATTGCTCATAATCATATCAAGTTACCAACACAACTTTTTCCTTCATTTATATACATGTGTGGAATCGATTAGATATTGTACATTTAGAAATAATAGTACGAGTGTTATTAATCAATTATAATCGGATGGGAAATACGACGAGTGTTTTTATAGTCATAATAAGTTACTTCTTAGAATGTTGTGATGTGTTTGAATTGAAATAGAATTTTAAGATTATTTATTATTCTCTTCTGATTTGACTGACTGGTGGTAATAATATCTTCCATATTTCTGGTATTTGCATTGAGTCATTTCTGTTGCATGTATTGGGTGTAGACTCGATGAATAAGGATTCCGTAATCAACCTCTCTCTCTCCACCTACCTATATTACTTTTTAGAATTTTAACCCTATCTCACCCTATTGTGTGGTTGTTTGTTAATGCGTGAAGTGCAATTGCTGAGCTTTTTTCTAAATTACTTATCTTCTCGGGGTCAACCATTCTTCCCTTAGCTAAATTCTTATGTTCTGATAATCTGACTATCCCTGACCTACTAGTTTGACCTATGTAGTTGACCTCACAGTCATTGCAGGGTATTTTGTAAATTATATTATTTTGTTTAATTGTTTAAATAATGATAGAAACAGTAATGTGTTACCTGAATTACGTGTTTAGTCCTTAGTGGTTCTGACTGAATTATATCAGTCAATTTGCAATGTGTAGTTGGTTACTCCCCACTAACCAATCAGTATACTCACCACAGTATTGAAAGAGGACATTCGTGACCCTTTCTAGATCAGTGGTCATGCCTCTGACTAGGTGACGTAGAGTTCAGTCTCCAAGGTGACATCAGCTGCTTCGACGCTTTAGGTACGCTTGGCCGACAAATGATAATGAGAACGAAATTAAGGTCTATGACTTCCTTCCTGCCCTTTCAAACCATCTGACAGTAATGAAGGAAACATATACGTCACTTTACATACTGATTCACTTCAAAGTGATATGAGAATAATGATACGGAAAATGTGAATGAGACCAGTGTAATCTACTGGACTGATCACTACTTGATAAACTATTGAAAGCTAATTCATTAGTAGTAAGTCACAGTTAAAAACAGGAAACAGTTTCCGCTTTATATCTTGAATTAAATAGATTTATTTTTGTATGTACGCCAATCTCCATTTGACCAGATAAATTTGGTCTGACAGGGTTTCAGAGGCATTGGCAACAGCGAAATTGTTTACTGTTTAGGTGAATCACGGACACGAACATGCTGAATATTAAAGATATGACTGGTTGACTGACTCACTGACTGACTCAGCAAACGGCCTTTGGGTTGTTAGTTCATTTGCACTGATGATGTAGTACATGTTGTTAAATCATTTAAACTTAAAGCATTAAGAGTGAACTAGAATTCGGATACTTTCGTGCTGGCGTACTTGAATAACCCAACAACATGTTTTATGCTGTCAGCGATGAGCCACATGTATCGATTTAATAAAGTCTAAACAAGAGTGACTGTGTGTTTTTTTTTCTAATTAGCTATTCATTAACATCTTTACACTGTTTAACACTTTTTGAATGACAGAACGTGAAAAGGTATATCATTGAGTTAAGTGACGCCTTAATTAGTTAATCAGAGATTTCGGTGTATTCAAGGTGTATGATAAAAGGAGTAAAGTAATCACAACAAGAGAGAAGTCATCATATTTGAACATTTTTGCTAAATCAAAATGACTTAGGCTAACGAAGTTATAAGACAAGCCAGTCAGAACACAAAGGATTACTGAGTGGACTAGAATGTAAATACCTTTATTCTGATGATGTATGTCTGATTTCCCACAAACTGGAAGATATGCAAGTGAAAAGCAACAAGTCGACAGAAGAAGCACACAGAGAAGATAGGAATTCAGGTGAACATTGAGAGAACAGAGGTAGGTAATGAAGATTCCTGGTTAACAGCAACAACCACAAAAACACCAACAGACAACAAACAGCTAAATGGGAGAAATCTGAAAGAAGCAATCTCCTTCACCTACCTACCTACCTACCTACCTACCTACCTACCTACCTACCTACCTACCTACCTACCTACCTACCTACCTACCTACCTACCTACCTACCTACCTACCTACCTACCTACCTACCTACCTACCTACCTACCTACCTACCTACCTACCTACCTACCTACCTACCTACCTACCTACCTACTTGGGAAGCATCGTTTCAACTACAGGCAGATGGAACTGATGAGGATATGAAAACGAGGATCGGGAAAACAAGGCAAGCTT